GGCGGGAGCGCCGCCACACTCCCAAGTGGCACACTCTCCAGTGCGCCACCGGGCCGGCCCCATATTTACTCTTTTGAAGCAAAGTATTTGATTTTATATTTTAACTAGCTGGCTGGTTAGCTCAGTTGGTTAGAGTACAGTACTAACACCAAGGTCAAGAGTTTGGATTCCCATACCAGCCAGCTGCCAAAAAAAATTTTTTTTTTAACTATGCCAGGATTAGCTCAGAGAAAATTTATAAAGGAGGTAAGTAAGGTACATTCTCAGGGTTCCTCTCCTCTGCCTACATCTCTAGTGAAAGCCTGTCCTACCCACCCACAATGACTTCTATTCCAGCATTTCTGTTATTCCTCCCATGCAAAACCCTCTCATCCTATGTTTCATGGCCACATGGTGTTAACAGGAAAAAGTGGTGGCATTACATGTTTGTCCTTTATGAAGAAAGTTCAACACTTAGCCCAAATGAATAATGTGAGAGTTGTACTATCTAGTGGGAGATGCATTTTGGAGCAGGTAGGAAATTTCAACATCACCCTATAAAGCCAGCTGCTTAGAAGTCAGTTTGATTGGTATTTTTCTTAGAAAAACATTAAAATTCATTTGTATTCCTAGAAGTCACACAAACTGTCAGTGGTGTAAGTCACCCAAAAGCAAACTGGATGGCAGACTAAAATGCTGTGGTGTATAATGTATACCTTAGGTCAGGAGAAAGAGAGAGAGAGCAGAGAGAGACAGCATTATTATTTCAAATATATGACTTGTTTATTGTGATTCCATTGGAAAAACAAGTAGACAGAGGTAAAGACTTTCTGATGAACACATGAAAGACCTTTCTAATTTTCAATAGTCAGAGCAGTTCACTGATAGCTGCCTTGGGAGACACTGAGCTCCATGCCATTTGAGGTGTTCAAACTGAGGCTGGACCTGAAGTTCCAAATATTCCATAATTAAGAACTAGCTTAATATAATTTTTTTAAAGTCTATGAGTCCATTTTGTCTGGAGTAATAGAGTCAAAAGGAAAATCACTGGTTTCACACCCAAGTTAACAGATATACAAATAACAACTACCTATAGCTGGGAGAATCTCTTCATATGCTCCATAAACTCCATTTTGGTGAAAGAAAAGGCCCATGGAGGAAACTTACACTTGCAGTGACCAAGCACACAATGAGGAAACCCAAAGAAGTTTCTGACAATCTAAAATCTTTTCAATAAACCTTAGTAGCACTGAAATTGTAATTGTCTCTTCCATTCACTTGATCAATAGACATTACTGAGCATCAACATTGTGCAAAGCACTAGAGACAAACTGATAAAAATAATCTTGACCCAGAGGAGCATACAGTCACTGAAGTCCATCACTCTATATAGCATGTTAAGTGCTATAAGAGATTAGTTATTACACAGCTGAACTCCTTAAGTGTTTTCTTCTAAGAGTTTTATAGTTTCAGCTTTTATATTTAGGTCTTTGATCCATTTTGAGTTAATTTTCAATGTGATATGAAGTTGGGCCAACTTCATTCTTTCACATGTGCATATTCAGTTGTCCCAGCACCATATGTGAAGAGACTATTCTTTCCCCCATTGAATGGTCTTGGCACCCTGTTGAAAATCAATTCACCATAGATGTATGAGTTTATTTCTGGACTCTCTATTCCATTGATCTATATGTCTACCTTTATTCCAGTACATACACTGTTTTGATTGTTATACCTTTGCAGTAAATTTTGAAATCAGGAAGTGTGAGTCTTCCACCTCCGTTCTTTTTCAAGATTATTTTGGCTGTTTGAGATCTCCTGCAATTCCATACAAGAATTTTAGTATCAGTTTGTCCATTTCTGCAAAAACAAAGCCACTGGAATTTTAATAGATATTGCACTGAATCTGTAAAACAATTAGGGGAGTATTGCCATCTTAGCAATATTAAGTCTTCCAATCAATGAGCAAAG